CCTTCCCCACTCGCCCCTCGTTGACAAGGAGGTCAGTGATCACCCGCGTCCAGGGGGAGTCTAGGGGTCGGCGTAGGTGGAGGGGAGCACACGCTCCCATCTCTGGCTGGGAGGCCCCCTAAGCTGCTTATTATCATCAGACCATGGGCTGGGCCCTTGCTCAACTTCCGGGGTTCCCCATCAGGTGCATCCCTACTCTCCGGGCTATGACTCAGGCTTTGGGGGAGCATCCCACAGGAATACAAACAGGGCAGCGCTGGGGCCCGGAGAGTGGGGAGCCCAGCGAGGCCCTGCCCCCCTACTCCCTCCTGTGCAGGCAGAGCCCTGGCGGGTGGGGGCACCCCTAGACTGCCCCTCAGGTCTCTCCCTTCCCGCTCCCTACACGGCCCGGTCCCAGCCCCTGTGGGGCACGAGGCTTTTCTGCACCTCCCCACCGCTCACCCCGCGGCACTCTCTGTGGTCCTCAAACCGCCCTCCATTTTGTTCTGGGACCTTCCCAGGTCTTGGTTCTCTCTGCTCAAACACTTGATGGCATCTCGTTTCCTGGGGACCACATCCAGGATTCTCCACAGTGTCCCTCGGGGGCGGTTCCTGACCCCTTTCCTGCCTCTAACCTCCAGCGGGCGTCCACAGCTTATGGTATGGACCGCGTAACGACATCACATCACTAACAGCACAACACAAGCCCCGTCAGCCCGCTTTGTCTGTTTCTTTACTTCTGAACACACAGCAGCTGCTCAATAAGTGATAGCGGGCAGTTAGCACCAGCCGGCTCGCAGTGGGTGTTGAGGGCACAGTCCTCAGATCGCCTGTAAGAAAGCTGTTCAGACTCAACACTCACAACTGGCCCTAAAGTGACGTGCCAGGGACAAAATCCACACGGCGACAGACACCGGGATGCAATTGTAAAAATAAACCAGTATTTGGGGCGCCTGGGTGGCTCATTCGGTTAAGTGTCCAACTTCGGCTCAGGTCATGATCTCACGGTTCATGAGTTCAAGCCCTGCATTGGGCTCTGTGCTGATGGCTCAGAACCTGGAGCCTGCTTCCGATTCTGTGTCTCCCTCTCTCTCTGCCCCTCCTCTGCTCACACTCTGTCTCTCTCTCTTTCTCTCTCAAAAATAAGTAAACATTACAAAAAAGAAATAAACCAGTATAACTTGGTTGATAGATTAGAAACTTTTCAGTGGAGAAAACCCAGTGAGATGATACAGCTCAGAGGCGAGGGTCCTAAATGCCATCGAGTGCACCTGGGAAATCAGAGTGAACTAACTTGACCAGCTAAGCTGCGAGCTGGTCCAGTCCAGGAGGCAGTGTAGCCCCCGTAGGAAGACCTTTCCCTTAACGCAAGGACCTAAAAATACATCGGCTAGTCCTTTGCTGGAAAGAGTAGAATCCACTGGGGACAATGCCAAGGACAGAAGCCACATGCTTGTCCAGAGGTTGTGGTCCCTGGCAGAGCCCCCCTGGCAGAGCCGGCAGGGCTGAGAATTAGCACCCCGTCCCCACTGTTGTTCCAAGGGTCTCTGCCAGCGGCCCACCTCCTCCCGCAGAGCATCCCAGGGCGCTGTGCCCCGGCAGGGCTCCAGGTCACCCCGCTAAAGCTGCCCACCAATGACCCTCAGGGTCCTCGGGGCCCCGTGCAGTGGGGAGGGTCCCCGCTGGGTCCGGCCTGCAGAAGCGGCCCCCCGGCACCAACGCAGAGAGAGATGCACCCCCTGTAATGCGGTCGAATCAGTTTCAGTTCTAATCTGAAGCAGGACGCCGATTTGCCCTGGGCCACTCATGTCTGATGAGCACAGTTCCCCGGCCAGAGCAAACTTTCGGGAAAAAGAAATCAATGAAAAGCCTCCGCGGCACGTCTTGGCGATGGGAGACCCGTTGACACTAATGTTTGTTTGATTAATTCAAAAAGCAGCCTGGCAGGATCCAAGTTCGTAATTCCGAGTAACCGCCCGGAATTATTTACTCTGGGGACCCGGGAACGACACAGAACAACTCGGCGACCAGGGGCAAGAACCGGGTCCCGCTGCTGCTGGGCTGACCCTACAGACTCCAGCCCGGCGGGGACGGGGACCCGCACGGCCTCTCCCCTGGGCCACAGGGGCGCGGGCGCTGGTGGAAGCACGTGTCCCGGCCCTTACTCCCTCCGACGAGGACCCTGCAGGGACATTCACTTTCTGTGTCCCGGGGGCCTCTTTTCGGACCGGCGCGTCGTCAGAGTTTCCCTGCCCCCCGCCTCCTCCCCTTCCACAGGGGCGGCTCGTCAGAAAGCCACGTCTCACCTTGAGGTCTGGGATCCCATAGCCCTTCCTGAGGCTGATCTGGAACACGTCCAGCGCGCTGATGTAGGCGGCCAGGCGCGAGAGGCTCTGTTTACCGCTGCCTCCCACACCCACCAGCAGGGCGTTCCCACGGGGCGACTCCAAGATGCGGTTGATTTTGCAGACGTGAGCCACCGCGTCTTCGAACAGCACCTGCCGAGAGCCGAGAGGCTTCTTGGCATCCCGGGGCGTGCGGATGCGGCTCCGTCCACGGCCCAGACCCTCCTCGGGCGAGGGGAGGGGGGTCCAGGTGGCCTTTGCCAGGAGTCACGCCGCCCCAGGGCACCGCTGTGGTTCCCAGCGAGGCGGGACGGGGAAAGCGGGGTCCCGGCCCCTCGCCTGTGCTGTCAGCACGGCGCACGCCCCTCACCAAGTTCATGACCGCGTTGACTTCGTTGTAACTGTCGAGGACGTCCACCAGGAGCTTGTGTAGATGGGCCACGTTGGTTACCGCGAGGTATTTGGGCTCGCCGATCCCGTGAGAGAAGTGGCAGAAGATATTTGGCTTGGCGAAGAGAAGCTCTTCGCCGAGATCCTAGGAATAAGAGGTAAGGCACTTCCACGGTCCATCGTGGGCACGCAGCTCAACACATCGCGCTGCTTGCCGCAGCGGCCCCGGGACGCCGGGCCGAGTCTTCATGGGCCCAAACCGCTGCTGCTGGGGCCCTGCAGACCAGCGGGCAAAAAACTCCCCGGTAGGACGGTCCCATCTCCCATCACGTCAGGAGAAAGAAAAGAATCTTCCAAGAAAGCCTAGGACGTACGAGCAGAGCGCCATGAGCCAGGCAGGCCTTTCTCTACCCCAAGCGGACGGAGGGAGCTCATCACATCCCGGCCTACTGAGGCGTCAGTCCTTCCCCCAGACACACACTCGTGTGACCGAGTCATTTCTAGGGACCCGGCGCGGTCCTTCGCACGCTCACGTCGGGGCCCTTCCGAGAGGGCTCGCCTTATCGGCGGGACCCAGGCACCCTGCCCTCCTAGAGCCTGTCGGGGCTCATCAGAGGGACTTGGTGGCTTGACTTACATCAAAGAATTTCTTGGTGGAAGCCATCGTGACTCTGCGCAGCACGTCCTGGTCTTTCCCGTCCACCATCTTGTCGCCATACACCCTCTCGGCTTCATGCAGCCAGAGGCGGACTAGGTCGAGCGGTACCCTCAGGATCTCCGCTGTGGAGAATAAGAGCCCCTGCCCCAGGCACGGGACGGTCAGCGTCGTCAGCTGCACTACGGAGGCCAGCCAGGTGCCGTACGCAGCTGACGCGAGAGAGTGGTCACTTCCCCAGGCGGTGATCTGCCAAGCCACGGATGGCCGAGGCCACGTGCATCCCGGAGGCTGTGTCGCGGGCAGAGATGTGGGGGAATCCTCCTCCCGAGACAGGGCCGATGCCTTCATTCTCTAACCGGGTGGCTGGCGGAGAAGGGACAGACGAGTCTGGCCACGAGGGGGAACCAGACTCTCGAAGGCCACAGGGCGGGCAGTTACGGGCCGGGGATCCGCCGCAAGCCTGCCTGTGTCCGGTCCTGGCTCAGCCGTTTGCCGACCGAGTGCCCCGGGCACGTCCAACAGGTTCTTAAGGAGAGTCTACCACGTTCCAGACCCTCTCTGGGGCTCGGGGATCACGGCCCAGATAGGCCCTGCTTGCATGGGGTCCACACTTCTAGGGGGGAGATGCAACCAGGCAAGCAAAACAACAAGGTAATGACACACGCAGCCCCATCATCATTGCTGTCATCGGTCCATAGGTCGCTTTGCTTTCTCTCCTGAGAGCAGCACAGGAGGAGAGCACCCACGGATCAGGGACTTGGCCAGAAGAGGGCTGAAAGAACAGTACCTGGAAAATACTGGAGAGGTCCCTCAGGTTGAAGACGTAATGAAATTTAACGGCGGTGGGAAGAAACACTGCAGTGACTTTCTGATGCAGGGCTGTTACCGGAAAAAGATACATCGATTCTTAGGTGCTCTTAACGGCCTCAGGAAGGGCAGAGCTTAAGGTACAGTTTCGAAGGCAAATGGAGTACAAGGTGGTGACAGTTTGAGTAAGAAGTTCTGCACGGCCGAAGAGGGAGGCTTGCTGCCCTACTGACGTGTAAATCACTCCTCGTACACTGAATTTCCTACCCCCGCCCTCCCCTCAAGCCGCTGGATTTCATCACATCTCCTGCTGCAACATAGCATCGTTTAAAAATATTGATTTTAAAAGTATAAGTAACATATCTGCCAGGGGAGACCACGAAGAAGCCATCAGCCCCATGAAGCAGGAGGTTTTCCTGACCGGAGGGGAGGGGATGAGCCGTCAGCTTACCCAGGGCCGAGGTCACCAGCTGGGCGCTCATCTTCTGAACCACCGTGGGGACCGAGCGGAAGGCCAGGTGCTGGGCCAGGATCGTGTTGTAGATGGTGGTGAGGGCCTCCTGGCCCGGAAAGCTCACGGCAAACACACAAAAGTGGCGCTGCCGGGAACAACCACAGATCCCCGTCAGGCGGCCCCGGGGGGACCAGCTGGTGGCCCGGGCTGCCTGCCTGCCTGGGGGCGCAGGCTCTGCCCCCGTCACCTAGTGTCTCGCGGGCATGGTCAGAACGGACGGTCTCCCTCCTTGGGCCTCGTATGTGGTGAGATCGAACGAAATCATAAGGATCCGCTTAGATCCTTCAGAAGCGAGGTCCTGCCTGGATGGGGTTGCAGACGTTAGTATGGGAGATCCTGCTAAATCTGAGTTTCAGAGGGGCGCCTGGGAGGCTCAGTCGGTTCAGCATCCGACTTCGGCTCAGGTCACGATCTCGCGGTCCGTGAGTTCAGGCCCCGCATCAGGCTCTGTGCTGACGGCTCAGAGCCTGGAGCCCGCTTGGGATTCTGTGTCTCCCTCTCTCTCTGACCCTCCCCCGTTCATGCTCTGTCTCTCTCTGTCTCAAAAATAAACAAACATTAAAAAAAAAACAACAAAAAAAAATAATAGATAAATCTGAGCTTTAGGTAAATAACAAACAATTGTCCTGATGAGTAAGCGTGTCCCGAATACTGTAGGGGATGTGCTTGTTCTGAGACCTCAACCCCACGGCGGCGGGACAAGCTGAGTTTGGCTTCCACCCACCTGGAGCCTGGGGTCGATGGTGAACGATCCGGAGGTGGGGTTCATGCAAGCCAC